GTTCGTTTGTTCGACTGTACACAACAACGTAGTGTCTCTTCTTTCTTCTTCTCTAACTAATTTTTTAACCTTTTACCTTCTACTTACTTAACTTTAGTTAAACCTTAACCTTTAACTTTTAAAAATTAAATACCTCCTCTCTCTCTCTCTCTCTCTCTCTCTCTAGAGTTCTAATATAAAGAATTATCATTTTACAGGATGATAGGGTCGTTGCTTTCTATGATATCAAGCTTTCTGCATTTCAGTAAATCACATTTTTTTGGTTTTGAAAACTTGTTTTTAGCAGAAGAAATGTTTCGCTCGAAATTAGTGAATAACCTAATACTTCCATTTCGCTACTATTCTGGCTCTGAAATTGTCGATTTATTTGACAAATATATTGAATTTATTCCAAATCTTTCCTTTGTTGAATGTAGTCAGTATCTAATTTCCTATAGCTAGTAGTTTTTCTTATTGAATTTGAGTTTTTTTCACTTGATTTAAATGCGTTTTTCTGTACATATTGCTGATCTAGTTTGATTTATTTGATAAGTATACAAATTGCTTCATGTTAGGAAATTGCAGTTGTTGGGTTAACTTGTAAATGACAATCACAAAATTGTTATTGTGGCTATGATCCTCTCGTTTTGTTGACTCAATCAAACTGATTCAGATTAATGTTCCCTTTCCAATAGTTATATCAGTTTTGGGCTGGGTCTCTATTATATAATTGGTAAATATATTGCCCCGTAAATAGCATTTAGCAGCCAAATTTAATGGAAGTGTCAACCAAAAGTATTATCAACACAAGCAAGATATGTTGTTGTGTTGTGGTAAAAAAAGATATGATGTTGTGGCATTATGAGTCCTTGATGCATGTTTTTGCTTATGGAGTCTAGAGAGAGAGAGAGAGAGAGAGAGCTAGTTCTTCCTCAAAGAGTGATGGACGTTCTTTTTTTTGGAATTAGAGAAAGAGTAATCCATTAACAAATCTTTTATGGCATTCCTCAAAAAAATCTTTTTTAGTGATTTTTGTTCTATTTTGTATGGATTGTATCTTAAGAAACATAATTGTGAGTGCTCTCTCTGTCTCTACCTCTTTTATTGTGATTTGTAGTAGTGAATTTTAAATTTTTAATTGTTTTGCTATCAATTTATAACTAAATTTATAGTTAGTATTTTTTATTTATTGTTTTGCTATGTATATATTTATTTTGAAATTCCTGCTTATACTTAAATTTTATGTCTGTGACATAGAAATGAATTTGTGTTAATTACTTATGTTTAGGTACTACTGATTAATAGTCATGGACATCATGGAGAAGGGTGCTCAAGTGGTGACATTGTTGCTAATATAGAGCCTATTGAAGCTTACATACCTATTGAGGCACTCGTACACCTGATTTATCATATAAGATGGACCAGGATGAGTTCTATAAAAATAATTTTATTGATGCGAGTTATGATAATGTCATAGCAACTGGGGATGGTGAGGACAATGTGATCAACAAGTTGCTGCCCACTACTTTGTGATCAACAAGATAATAGTGAGCATCAAAGGGACTTATTTGTAGGAATGAACTTTGATGAGGATAATGAGCTCCCACTGCTTTGTGATCAATAAAATAATAGTGAGCATTAAAAGGACTTATTTGTAGGAATGAACTTTGAATCTGAGGATATTGTGTATCAATTTTACAGTACATATGCCCAACGAAAAGGTTTTAGCATTTGTCTTGAGAGGCCAAGAAAGGACAAGGACACTCATTTGAGTATGCAAGATTATGGTTGCTCAAAAGAAGGCAAACATGATCCAAATTATGCAGGAAGAATTCATCATCGACCAATAACAAGGGAAGGATGCAAAGCAATGTTAAGGGTACGCAGGATGAAAAAGAGAAAGTGGGTTATAACGAAATTTGTTGAGGAGCACTCCCACAAGTTTACATCGCCATCAAAGGTACATCATTTGAGATCACATCGGAGCATCCCAACAGCTACTATGAACTTGATTAAAGCGATGTCTTCAGCAATGTTTGATGTGCATAAAATTATACAAATTTTAACAGAATATGTGAATGGGTCAAATACTCTGGGCTTCACTCAAGTAGATGTCGAAAACTTTATCTATAACACCCGTAGAAAGGCGAGTGTTAGAGGGAGGGATGGGGAGGCTCTTTTAACCTACTTTCATGAGCATGTTGAGCCGAACCCATGGTTTTTTTATAAAATACAACTTGATGAAGTATATAAGGTATGTAATATGCTATGGATTGACTCGCGATCAAGGATATCATATAAGTACTTTGTTGATGTAGTTATTTTTTATACAACATGTAAGATAAATGCATATCACATGCCTATTGCCGCCATTATTGGAGCAAACCACCATGGAAATAATATAGTCTTTGGTTGTACACTAATTAGGTATGAGACAACATAGTCTTTTAGTTGCTTGTTTGGCCATTGGCTAGAAGCTATGCAGGGTCGAGAACCAGGTTGCATCATTACTGATCAAGACGCAACTATGGCTGCTGCAATTAAAGAAGTTCTTCCAAATGCACGGCATCGATTATATAGATGGCACATTTCACAAAAGTTTCAAGAAAAATTGGGTCATGTTGAACAAAAATACCCAGGGTTCTTATACGAGCTACATAGAGTCACTACTGATTATAATGAGACAATTAATGATGTTGAGGACCGTTGGTCCAGAATGCTCCAAAAATATGAGCTCGAGGGGAATGAATGGTTGGACATAATATACGGATGTCTTTCTCAATGGATTGATGTGTATATGAAGGATACATTTATTGCCGGTACACGGTCTAGTCAAAAGAGTGAATCTATGAATAGTTTTATTAAACAATATATAAATTCACACACCAATTTTTCAGGATTTGTAAAGCAATGCCAAAAAGCAATTGTTCATTTATATGAAAAAGAGAATATGATGGACTTCAAGAGCACTGAAGGTATTCCAATGATGAGAATGACATCCCCCTATGAAAAACAAGCTGTTAAGTTATACACCCATGGTGTACTTAGGAAGTTTGTTGAAAAAATTCAAAAGATACCTCACATGGTTGTAGAGTCTATTGAAGTTGAGGGACCAAATACCACGTATAGGGTGTATAAATATGATGCGAATCGACTACAATATAAAGTAGTATTCAATGAATCAGAAATCATAGCAATTTGTACATGTTGCTTGTATGAACATGATGGTATTCTTTGTGCACATGTCTTAAAGGTTTTTTATTATAAGAATATTATGCTCATCCTCGAGCACTATATCATGAGAAGATGGACTAAGGAAGAGAACAAAGGGATGGTATCAGATGACGATGGGGTTCAAATTAAGGCTAATAATAAGGAGTCTCAAATTGCTCGTTACGATGATTTAAGTAGAGTTGCCTTTAAAGTTGTATCAAAAGGATCAGTTAGTGAAAGGCTCTGGGAATTTACAAAAAATATTATTATGGAATGTAATAAAAAAGTGGAGAGGAAGAGATTGGAATATGAAAAAGAGGCAACTTATTCGAATCAAGGTAGCATTATAAAAGATGTCATGCCTAGTAATAATTACACACCATAGACTGACCCAAGCATCTTTATACTTGAACCACAATGTGCTCGAACAAAAGGGCAGTCTGGCACTGTAAGAAAGAAAGCACAATGCGAGGAGAAGACAAGCACGAGGAAGTGTTCTGTTTGCCAAAATGTAGTGCATGATATGCGTACTTGTCCAACTTTTCAAGCTCATGGGTAAAATTATAGTTATGCTTACAATTATAAATTAATATTGTTATACTTTAATATTGTCTTGTGAATTTGAAATAATGCATCAACTAATCACTATTTTGCAACTTATACAGGTTCTACATGGAAATTCCCACAATGGAACCTGAAGCTGAGCGAAACAATATATAGACTTTGCTATGTACACCATTCGCTTTTTTGATGGTATATCGATAATACATTTGCATTGATTGATTGTTATTTATTAAATGAATTAGGATATAATGGCATGTGTTTTATGTTAAATGCTTAGTTCTTTCTATTTTCAATTGGTTACCGAGCTAATGTATATCCTAAATTTTCAATGACTATGTCAGTTTGGATAACAATGCAAGAAGTCAAAGGAGAGGCCATTTATTTAAGAACAAGACTGGAGTTTTTTGTACAAGCCCAATGGTCAACCCTGAAGCTCATCATCTCATAAATTTTTTTCAAGTCCAATGCTCAACAATCAAGCTCATCATCTTAGAAATTTTTTGCAAGCCCAACGCTCAACAATCAAGCTCATCATCTTAGAAATTTTTTGCAAGCCCAATGCTCAACAATCAAGTTCATCATCTTAGAAATTTTTTGCAAGCCCAATGCTCAACAATCAAGCTCATCATCTTAGAAATTTTTTGCAGCCCCAATGCTAGTGGAGAAGACTTTATCTTGGAATGGAGCTTCGAAATGGAATTTTTATATAGCTTCTATATATTGTAAATTCATCTTGCAAGTAGAATTTTGTATAGTTTCAAAGTGCATGTTGAATAGCTTCAAAATGGAATTTTTGTATAGCTTTCCATTTTGCAAATTGATGTTGTAAATAAAAATTTTATATAGCTTTGAAATGAAAATTGTGTGTACCTTCCATATGTTACAAACAATATGTAGATTTCTCGCGCTATCCCTTGACCTAGCTATCTTACTCTCTTTCTCACTCTTTAGGTGTTCGCGTGTTTCTTTCTCTCTCTGTCTCTCTCTCTTTCTCTCTCCCAACTACGAACTCTATGGATGGTTTGCGCTTCCAATAGTATTCTTTAGCTTTTAATACTAAATAATAATTCACCAAATTTATACACCAAATAGTATGAGCGTAGAGATAACTTTCGTTTTTAATTTGTTAGTTAGAAATGCCATTTTGAAGAACTTGAAATGCAATCCATGACTCCCACAAAGAATTAATGTGTATTGAAAAACATTATCTCAACTCCCAATTCACCAAGACTAAGACAAATGTAGGAAATAGAATTCATTTGAGAAAGGTTGAGTTTGTACATCGAGTTTGAGGGCAACGCACTACATCAAAATATGCCTGCAAAACTGAGTTTGTACATATCCAACTACAAGACTTTAAATTACAAATATGTAAGAGGCCCCTATTAAAGTAAACCTTTCCCCTTCACCCTCGATTGAAATTCCTATTTGGGTTCCTCAGGCATAGCAAGACTGTGATACTCTTTTTTTTGTACTTTATTCTCCTTTCATTATCATCTTCACCATCCTCACATTCCTCTTCGCATTTACCATCATCATCACCTTCCTCTTCACTTTCACTCTCCTCTTTTGCATCTGGTGTGTTCTTTACTAACAAATCCTAGACCACGACTACATAACGCTTGAAATCCTCTTCGTTTTCAAATCATGTGCCACGACTATACAGGTGTGTTGCTGCAATTAAAACAATATTCATATAATTAGAACTATTCTTGAAACCATGGGGAGAACACGCTACCATGACAGCTACTAAAGCCGTCTATAGGAAAGATCACAACAGTGAAATTTTGTATTGAATTTCATGATAATAGTAAACATGCTGACCACAAATTAGTAATGTTTGAAGCTTCTACTCTATGTAATCTACAAGCACATAGAAATAGTAAATACCATTCAAAATAGAAAGTAGAAAACTTTAACTACGTTATCTATTCTGAAGACATCTTCTGAGAAAACGTACCATTTGCAGTGTTTCAAATGAGTAAAAATTATAATTAAATTAGCACAAGGCAAAACATATGTGTATTCAAGCAAAACATCAGTTTGTAAAACATAGTCAAATAATCCCACGAAGACGTCAATCCAATTACTTGGGGTAAGGTACCATCTAATGAAAAAAGACCAAACAAGTTCTAAGGTGCTAAAGGCACACTGTCCAAGACAGACACAGTAAAGTCACGCTTAACTTGAACCAAGCTTAATGACAAATGGCATGTTGAGTCAGTATTGAAGACTGATGTACAAAAATGTCAATTGGCACTACAATGAATGCAATAAATTCAAATTTACTAGGAAAGAATGAGTTGGAAAGCATAGCAAGAACCCATCCAAGACAATTCCATTTTCTGAATAAAATATTTGGCCCTAGAACTCATATGAAATGTCATAGCTCTCTAATATGTTTTGGGATCTATATACCAAAATATAGGAAAAGAGACACATTGTTAATGACAAAGATGACACAGAGACAACCCAATAAAATGACAAAGAGAAGACACAGTTAAGAACTCCTTGCATAAGAACGTAGAATCCTATTGTATTCAAAATGTCAAATGTTCTATTGATTTGAATGTATTAAAAAAAGAAAAACAACAATGCTGATCAGATTACCCCCATCAAATCCACCAAGAACAGAAAGGGCAATCACTAAACCCTTACCTTAAAAGCAGTGTTTAAAGCCCTTCAAAATTACTTCTTCCTAGGAAAAGAACATTACATTCTACTCTTCTTCTTTTCTTTTTTTCTTTTAATGGGGTGAGCTATGAGCATGCTATTGTGTCATCCTCTCCTTAATGGGGTAAATGGTAGAGTTCATAAGATCATTTTTTGTTTTAATGGCGTGAGCTATGAGCATGGCAATGTCTGATCTTCTCCTTATTCATGTAAATGGCAGAGTTCAGAAGATCTTTTTTATTTTTTTCAATGGAGTGAGCTATGAGCATGGCATTGCTCCATCTATCTCCTTAATGGAACCACTAATCAACAAATTGAGATGCAACAACATATTTAAAGGACAGCCACTACACCCATTCATCAGTTTCATGCCATTTAAGAACAATTAAATTATTATTTCCAAGCATCAAGGTAATACATTGCATGTAATCCTGATCATTAAAAGTCAGATGAACGCAATTAACAGACTATACTAAGAACAAAGGTGAAAAAGTAAGAGAAAATCAAAACAAAGCAATTTAATAAGAAAAAACAATAGATTGCTCATAGAAAGTGAGCTTTCAATCAACGAAAAGTGAAACCAAAACTTGATAGTATAAACGAGAGGATCATAGCCACAATAACACTTCTATGATTGTCATTTACAAGTTAACCCAACATCTGCAATTTCCTAACATGAAGCAATTTGTATACTTATCAAATAAATAAAACTAGATCAGCAATATGTATAGAAAAACCCATTTAAATCAAGTAAAAAAAACTCAAATTCAATAAGAAAAACTACTAGCTATAAGAAATTAGATACTGACTACATTCAATAAAGGAAAGATTTGGAACAAAGGCAATACATCTGTTGAATAAATCAACAATTTTCAGAGCTAGAATAGTAACGAAATGGAAGTATTAGGTTATTCACTAATTTCGAGAGAAACGTTTCTTCTACTAAAAATAAGTTTTCAAAACAAAAAAAAAGTGATTTATTGAAATGCAGAAGGCTTGATATCATAGAAAGCAACGACCCTATCATCTTGTAAAATGATAATTCCTTATATTAGAACTCTAAAGAGAGAGAGAGAGAGAGAGAGAGGCGTGTTTTAAAATTTAAACAAAGGGATTTCAAATTTTAGAAATTGAGAGGGTTTAAAAAAAAAAAATTGAGAAGCAAAAAGAAGAAGAGCACATGTCTGTATCCTAGCAAAAAAATAGCGGATTTATGTTGAAACCGTAATCTTTAATGCTTTTCCTTTTTCTCCAGCTTGCTCTCTCCGCTTTTTCTTCAGCTGTCTGTAGGGGCATTTTTTTTCAGCCTGCTCTCTTTGCATTTTCCGTTTTCTTCCAACTCTCTCTCTCTCTCTCTCTCTCTCTCTCGCTAAAATGGAAAGGGTTACTCCTTACTCTCTCTTGTACGGGCTGTTTACATAGGGTTACCAGTTGAACCCGTGTGCTTTTTTTGTGACAACTCAAGTGGATTAATCCAAGCCCTGTATTTTATATCAACATTCAAAAATATGGGGGAGAATAAAACTTACATGTTGTAGAGGAAGCATAGAAAGCTTTCCCATTTGTTGTAGGGAATCTCTTATCTAGCCAGTTTCATGATGGTAAATTATATTTTCAAAAGAAAGTACATTGCAGTAACCATTTGCTTTTAACTTACAAACAAGATAACGTATGATTCAAACACATAACAAGGTTTCAGTGTGATCTCAATATATTTTTGGTGTGATTTTATAAAGAACTTAATAGTGGCAATGGCCCTAGTGTCTTGGCCCGGACAGTTCTAAAAGACTAAGGCTTGGGCAAAACAATGTGGCTTGAGTGGCTGGCTAGCATGCCCCAAGGAGCGGTGTGGGCCACGCGAGCGACAAAAGGGCAAAAGTGTGGCCCTAATAGGGCCAAGGCCTCTTTTTTTGGTCCGGGTTGAGCCAGGGCCACAACTGGCCCACTGCTAGCTCTAAAACGACCTTTAAATTCTCTAATCTCTAATATTCTCATTGTCTTCAACGTGCTTTTGGTGTGACTTTCAATAAACTTTTAATGTGATCTCAAGTATGCTTTATAGGTTTTCTTGTCGTGAATCTATTATTATTTTTACATAAAGTCTCTCTTTTCATTGTATATCAAACCTTACCTCCTTATTTTTAAATCTCATTTTATTTTAAAATTTTTAAATCTTTCTTTATTTCTAAATCTAAAAGTAATATTGAGACATTGGAGCAGACCAATTTCTAGTTATTTGAGTAAGTGCTATGTTATGTTGTATTATTCTACTTCAAAATATATTCAACTCTTTAATTGAGATTTATAGTTTTATTTTTTAGCTATGATGTATTTTTAGATATTTGCTTAATTATTCAACTTCATAATTGTATTTGTAGATATTTGCTAGATTATTCAACATATTTAATTGAGATTTATAGTTTTATTTTTTAGCTATGATGTATTATTAGATATTTGCTAAATTATTCAACTTCATAACTGTTTTTGTAGATATTTGCTAGATTATTCAACT